AATTTAGTATATAATGTCGTGTTTTTTTTTTACTTTCATTGTTTCTCCTTCCTCAGATATTTTTCTCTGCCTCGGATTCCTTTCTCCTTTGCCATTTGCCAATAGCATAGCAACGTTTTCAAAATGTTGGTAGAATTGTCAAAAAATTATAATAACAAAGTAATAAGCACGTCCAAGAGAGAGTCAAAAGATAATATTTTAAGGAAGATGCATAATAAATAAATATCACTCAATTATGAATGAGTATGCGCATTTATCATTAAAAAACATTCTGTTATTTTAAACACTAAAACGTAAGTCTTGGCATGTATTTGAAATTTTAAAACATTTCAATTTTGTCTATAATTCAATTTTTATTAGTTAAATCAGCCACCATAATTTTATTTATGATAAAAATTTTTACTTAACAACGTAAATTTGTATATATTATCACATGAATATTACAAAATAATATTATAATAATATTACCCTTAGAATTACAGTGGGGACAAGGGGATAGCTCTCGGAGCCTTTAATGCCGCTCTTCTTCTGCCCTTCCGTGTTTTCTTTTGGAGAAGTTTGTTTCTCAGCCTTGGATTCACATCTAATCTCCTGTTTTCTATTTTTTAGTTTCTCGTTTCTTTAAATAATTTTTAATCTATAAAATTTTAAAATATTTATTTTCATTTAAATTAAAAAAATTTAATAAAGAATTTAAAATAAATTTAATAACGTAACGTAACGTGAGATTTTACCTTATTTTTCGGGCACGATTCACAATTGTACGTCTCTCTTTCTTCAGATATTTTATCTGCCTCCGGATTCCTCTCTCTCTTGTCAATACAGGGGGTGCGAGGGTCTAGAGTCTCTAGACTAGGGACTAGACCTCACCTCAAATGTGAAATGTGTTCGGAAAATCTATAGACATCAAAACATCAAGATATGACAGCTATTGGCACTCGTAAGTCGTAACGCTGGGCAAACGTCAATAGAGTATCTTTTTTCCATTTTTCAAAAACAGGTATATTCTTTTCAAAATCAACCAATTATTAATCCTTATCTTACACGGTATTAAAATTATTTGTATGGCCCCATTTTCATTTTCACAGTGGAAATGCCCACCTTTCAAATTCATCCAACCTTCCGTAAAAGTGGGATGACCGACCCAAGGAAAACACGAAAAGCAAAGTTCGGTGTGGGGACAGAAAGATAAAAAGTTTACTTAACATAAACTCATTATCGCACTCAAGGAAAATATGAATAGCGGAGTGTGGTGTGGAGATAGATAAATATAGAGTTTGATTAGCGTTTAATTTAATAAATAATTTAGTAATTTTTATTTTTTT